AGGTTCAAACGAGAACCCCTGTGATTTACGAAAACACGAGAACAATCTATTAACTTCATATTGTGATAACAATAAAAATTAAAAATGAAATTAAAACAATTCAAAAAAAATTGAGAGGCAAAAGGGTAATATTGGATTCAAAGTGATAAAATTTTAAAAACACGATCACACTAAACCCAATAATTTAGATAACATAATGAATTATTTTGGTTATCGCTTATTTCAACACGATTTGGTGAGATTTGGATGTGATAATCATGTGATTATCACATAATTATCACAAGGATTCCGCTCGCTAGGGTTAACTTAAAAAATGGACTACAGATTTGGGGTGATATGGGTGTGATAATCATGTGATATCATTATCATAACAGTACACTCGATTTGATCATGGTTTCGATCGGTTATGGTTAGACAATCACACATTTATCACAACGATTACTCATGGTTTCGATAGGTTAGGATTAGACAATCACACATTTATCACCACGATTATGGGCGAAATCCACTAAACGATTTGGTATGATATAGTTGTGATAATCATGTGATATCACTATTATAACATCACTTGTGCACTCAATTTGATCATGGTTTCGATCGATTAGGGTTAGACAATCACACGTTTATCACAACGATTACTCATGGTTTCGATAGGTTATGGTTACACTCGATTGATCATGGTTTCGATAGGTTACGGTTACACAATCACACAATTATCACAAGGAAAGAGAAGAGAGTGGGAACGAACGTGCAGAAAAAAGGAATAATTATAATTAATTAAAAAAATATTTAAATTATAAAAATTACTTAATTACATTACTGTCTTTATTAATTTATTTATATTTTATATAAGTTAATTTATTAATTAAAAAAGTTTGAGGTTATAGGATTGTTCTCGCGTTCTTGTAAAAGGGGAAGAAAAAAAAAACTCAATAAATTTTCTCATTTTAAATGGTTTAGTCCCTAAACTATTTTTTGAATGGAAAAACCAATAAACTTTTTCATTTTGAATTTTAAGTCCCTGAACTAATTTTTGAAGCAAAAAATCATTAAACTTTCATATTTTGAATGATTAAGACCTTAGATTTTTTTTAAAAATATATAAACCATCAAATTTTTACTAATTGGTTAATATAACTTTTTTGAATTAAAATGATGTAGATAATCAGTTTTTAAAAGTATAATTATTTATTTATTAAAAAAATATTCAGAGACTTAATCAATTAAAATGAGAAAGTTAAATGGTTTTTTTATTCAAAAAAAGAAGGGCAAAATGCATAAAATAACAACATACTTTTATAAATTTTCAGACTATAGCATTGTACTTCCATTTTTTCTTATTATAACAACGTACTTTCAAATTATTTTTTGTTAGGACATTATACTCTGAAAATTTACCTATATAACATGGGGTAACTTTTTTATTTAAGTTTACCCATTATACTATGTTTCCATGTTATTTTTTATCAAAAAAGTATTATCTTTTAAAGAATATATCATACTTGTTAAAAAAATATTACTTGGCATACAAATATATTAAATTAATTAGATTTTTTAAAATTATTTATTAGTATAACAATATTAAATAAATTGTAGATCACAATTTATCTCGCTAACATCTTAAAAAAAAACTTTAAAAGATATGTATTTTTTTGAATAAAATAAAATAAGAAGTGCTACATTTTATTATAAACAAAATAGTTATCTCGAAAATAATATATCATATTTATCTAAAAAATACTTTAAATAAAAAGTCAAAAATATTAAATGTTTTTTTTAAATCATACTGAAAATAAAAATCATTAATAATAATTTGAAATAGTTTTTTTATTTATATTTTAAACATGTTACGATTAACCGGTTTAAAAGGTAACAGGTTATCCATTGCTATAATGAGCAGATTTTTCAAATTCAATGCCCTTATAAAAAATAATTTGAAAATACATTGCTATAATAAGGAAAAATAAAAATAGAATATTATAATAAAGAGATTTATAAAAGTAGATTGCTATTTCATACATTTTTAACTCACAAAAAAAGTTTAATGTCTTTTTAATTCAAAAAAATAATTATGAGACTTAATCATCAAAAATAAGAAAGTTTAATAAGTTATTTATTTAAAAAATAATTCAAAATTTGATAAAAAATCTTAAAAACCATTTTTTATGCATGAAGTACTGTTTATTGATGCATATTACTTATAATTCAAGATTACAAGTGATTTTACGTAAGTACAACTTATTAAAGCTTCATTTTTAAATTCATGTAATTAACTGTAGATAAACATAATCAAATATAGGATAAACATCTATTTTAAATATAGAAAATCTAAAATATAATTAAGATAATTATTGAGTTTCTAACAGAATGTTTAATTATTATTTTTATAAAATATAAATTATTAAACCAAAAAATAAATTATTTTTTGCTATTAGACCTAAATTAAATTATAATAAGAAATTGAATTAAAAAAGTTACACCAAAAAATGAGAACTATTAAATAATTAATTTAATACTAATATTGATTTTATTTTTTTAAATTTTTTTATGTTATTTTCAAATTCATATTTTATTCAAAAATAAAAAATATTATCGTTTTCTCAAAACTACATAAAATCGTATTAATATCGATATAGACAAATAATAAAAACTAAACATTAAAATAAAAATTTATCTTGTTGTATTGTACGAGTACCCTCAAGTTATTCAAAAATAAATAGTTGGTTGGTTTTTCTTTTTAACTTTTCCTTTGTTAAAACAATTTTGTTCAATTTCTTTTTATCAGGAACTGCAAGCACATGAGAATGCAAATTGGGCCGGTCCATTATCAGAGACTTTGTTGTATAAAGAAAACCTTCAAATGTAGCAAACCCTAATCATATCACTCTATTCACTTTCACTGTAGTGTAGACTGTAGTGTGTGGATCTCGACTGTGCTTGCGGAAGAAACGTCCAATCAGGTATCATCTCCACTTGGTATCTATCTATCTATCTTCTACTGGCTTAATCTCTTATTTTCTTCAATGGAAGTGCTAATGAAGTCTGTATATGTTTATGTTATTCACAGCTTACTTAAAAAACGAACGTTGATTCCGTTAAGCAATGGCACTGGTGAGTTTTTTTGTTTTGTTTTTGACAATTCAGTTAATCGGTTTTTCGCTGAATTTAGTAGCTACAAGTACAAGTGTATATTTGGTAACTTTGTCAGCAACTTAGCAACATATATTTAGGGTTTTATATTTCTATATGTAAGCATCGTTTCTGTGTCGTTTGATTGGTTTCAACTTCGTTCTATTTTCTCTGCGAAGATGGTAGTGAGATTTTCTTTAGTGTTAGGGGCCAACACTTGATTCGTTTTTGTGTAGTCAAGTCAGTTGTAGTACTATACGATTACAAGAATCAGCTTGTAGTTCATAATTGTAATCGACATGATTACACAAATGCCATCTTTTGATTACTTTTCTTTGATAAACCTAAAACAAAGTAGTGTTGACTTCTGGTTTGTTGTCGAGTGTTATTAAATATTGGTTGTAGCTTATTCAGAAGTTCCAGTTCTGGCGTTGGATTGAAATTATCTGTTTTAGTTTATTTGATTTATTGGTAGTTGCTTCATTGAAATTTGAGATAATTTGTTTTTTAAATGTATAACCTTCTTGTAGGTATTGCATGTGGGAAAAAACAACAAGAATGCTTTCAAGACACTAATTACTGCTGAATATGCTGGTGTTGAAGTTAAATGGGCTGATAATTTTGAGATGGGCGTCTCAAATAAAGCTCCTGAGTTTCTTAAAATGAACCCTATTGGAAAGGTACGCCCTCTAATCTGATTCAACTTTTTGCAACAGTGAGAATGCTTTATTTAGCTTATTTACACAATATGCTCATGTTGCTGAAGGTTCCTGTGCTGGAGACTCCTGATGGTCCTGTATTCGAGAGTAATGCCATTGCTCGCTATGGTGAGGGACCATGTGACATTTGATTGTAATCTTGCTTTATTAACGGTTGATGGTGCTTATTGTGGTATATTGATCACTGCAGTTGCCCGCCTGAAGACTGACACTTCTCTCTTTGGATCTTCACCAATAGAATATGTACGATGTATCATTTTTGGTGTCCTTGTTTTTTGATAAAGTACTTATGAGTCATGTACATGAATCTTTTGGTTCCTTTAATGTTTATCCAGGGCCAAGTTGAGCAGTGGATTGATTTTTCTTCATTTGAGATCGATTCGAAATTGATGGGATGGCTGTATCCGAGATTTGGTTATGCTAACTATGTTGCTCCGGTTAGTTACTACCTCACTTGTGAAGGCATATATGCTTGGTCATACATTTGCGTAACCTGTTTCTATGTGATTAATCTTACAACATTGACTTCAAACATGTTTAGCATTATTAAGTTATTATAATCTCTCCTGTACTTTTTTGCATAAATGAGGAAAGATTTCAAGTTTCATAGATCTCTTGAAGAATGATGTTAGACCTCATACCCTACTAATTATTATCTTTATTATCTTATAATGTTCCAAATGAATTCTTCAATTGTCTTCAAGAAGTTGGTGTTTAGAGGATGTTTGCAAAACAGTAAACACTTTCCGCCTCTTACTGTGTAAGAGATGCTTACGCGCTAAGAGATTATGGTCTTTGCTAAACAGTAAACACCGCCTCTTACTGTGTAAGAGATGCTTACGCGCTAAGAGATTATGGTCTTTGCCAACGATCTTGCGGTGCCATTTTGCTAACCAAGAATCTTACCTGATAAGTGAAGGTGGTGACTCTTACCCGGTTTGCGCTTATCGGGTAATAAATGCTTATACTATGCTATTTGTATGACCTATAATCTTACCCAGTAAGGTAAGTGAGGGTGGTGACTTTTACCTCATAAGCGCTTATCCAGTTTTTGTTGGTAAACGGCCCCTTAGTTTTGAATGAAGGCTTTTATAGTTCTATTTAGGTTGAAGTTTTTTAGGGTTGTTTATGTATTTGGTATCTTGTGACATGTGAAAGGCACTAAATAATATTTGTTCTGAATATGCATTGAAGGTTGAGGAGGCTTTTATTGATGGTTTGAAGAGAGCTCTTGGTGCTCTGAACACATATCTTGCCTCGCATACTTTCTTGGTTGGTCATGGCGTGACTCTAGCTGACATCATAATGACTTGTAATTTATACCTAGGCTTCAAAATCATGATGACTAAAAGCTTTACATCTGAGTTTCCTCATGTTGAGAGGTATTTTTGGACCATGATCAATCAACCAAACGTTAGCAAAATAATCGGTGAGGTGGAGCAGACAAAAGCTGTCCCTCCTATTGTTTCTTCAAAAAAGCCAGCTCAAACAAAAGAGGTTAAACCAAAGGTTGAGTCCAAAAAGGTAGAAAAGAAAGAAGCTCCTAAGCCCAAGATTGAAGATGTTCAGGAGGAAGAAGAGGCACCAAAGCCTAAGCCAAAGAACCCTCTTGATCTACTGCCCCCAAGTAAGATGATCTTGGATGACTGGAAGAGGCTTTACTCCAACACCAAAACCAACTTCCGTGAGGTTGCAATTAAAGGTAATCTTATCCACTTTTTTGTGGCCTTTTCGTTCTATTTTGCTTACGACTTACATTGATACACAACTATTTTGGTTGCTTTTGACAGTACTTGCGCAATGGTTGATCTCTTCTTAAATTACTTTTTTTAGCTATTACCATAGTACAAAGGGCAAAATGCAATGATGTTTGTCTTGGTTCCTGGTTAGTGTAAAAACGAATTTTTTTCTCAATTAATCTACTCCCTCCGTCCCAAAAAATATCCACAATGAAAAACTCACAGTTATAAAAATGTGTAATTATTGCACTTTTTAACTAATTAACTGACATGTTATCTTTAATAATAAAGGGAGTGATGGATTTCTCCTTCTCATAATTAAGGGTAGAATTTGGAAGTAGACACTTTGAAAATGGACATTTATTTGGGGAGAAGATAAACTAGAAAAGTCGAAACTTATTTTGGGATGGAGGGAGAGAAAAAGTTTCAAAATTTCTTATTTGACTGGCAACCTGCAAATGTTGAAACATTTGATGACTTAGATACCAAGTTGATTGTCCGGTTGCCCATTCGCCGTAAACCGTTTGTAAACAGGTGTTCATATCATCAAATGCTACAAGATGAACATGTTACTCGTTAAGATAGGTAGAGATTAAGAAATTTTGTCAATATCGATTGAGAAAAAATTCTTAGTTACAGTAAAGCAAACTTTATTGCCTTTTGATGCATTTTACCTGAGTATATATAGCTCATTGGATATTGTTGTTTTATATGGCTGTTTGATAGATGAGCATGTGCAAGCATTATTAGTTGACAGGATTTGATGACTTTTTCAGGTTTCTGGGACATGTTTGATCCAGAGGGCTACTCCCTTTGGTTTTGTAATTACAAATACAACGATGAAAACATGGTCTCATTTGTGACCATGAACAAGGTGGGTGGTTTCCTCCAACGAATGGATCTAGCCAGGAAGTACGCATTTGGAAAGATGCTGATTATTGGATCAGAGCCCCCATTCAAGGTGAAGGGTTTGTGGCTTTTCCGTGGCCCATTGATCCCCAAGTTTGTCATGGACGAGTGCTATGATATGGAGCTCTACGAGTGGACAAAGGTGGATATCTCGGATGAAGCACAGAAGGAGCGCGTGAATCAGATGATCGAAGATTACGAGCCTTTTGAAGGAGAGCCTCTTTTGGATGCCAAGTGCTTCAAGTGAGAAAAATGTTATCCTGTTCTTTAGGATATAACGATTGTACGATTCATTCACGATTACCACTCGCGATCAAGTATTACCTTTTTTCAAAAGGTATTGTTGTTTAAAATGTGATAGTATGGTTTTGATCCCACTGTAATATCCGAGACACACTGGTTGTGATTCTTTTGTTAATCTGGAGTTGGGTTTTTGTTAGCTCTGGGTAATGTTTGATTAGCATCCAGGTGATGTTATCTTTGTGAGCAAATGGTGTTATCAAAGAGACAAGATAATTATTCTCAAATCCGAATATATACGGTAGATGCAACAAATAAGCTCACACACCCTCCTCACCTTACCTTCGGTGATAGGCCAAGGACTACAATACCGTTAGGTCAAACATGTAAAAAGTCAAAAGCATAAATGGACCTATTACAAAACTTATTACAATTATAAAAAATAATTCAAATATCTCGTAGTTTGAAATCCTAGAAATAAAAGGAAGGCGCAGGGTTGAAGAAACAGGCGTTTGGTGGGGAGGGATCAAACAGAAGCTAGAGACAGAAATGGCTCCGATCTCACGCCCCAGATCCATGACCATAAGCTTCTTCTTCCTATTCTTCTCCATTCTCCTACAATTCCTCTCTGGTTCGTATCCTTTTTATCATTAACTGCAATCGGTGGTGAATTTTATGTCTTCTCATAGTCTCTGGCTGATTATTTACCCTTGATGCATGCGTTTTCTTGTAAATTCTTATCAAATCTGTGTTTATTGGGTTATTACGAGTTAAACTTGAGTTGCATTTGGTTTCATCATGTTTCGTGGGTTCTGCTTCGCCCTAGTTTTTTCACATGGAGCATTACGTGTGGATATTATTCAAATTAACCTAAACCTAATTTGATCTATTGCATGATGATCAGTTCTGCATTTATTATCAAGTTTTTTCCCAAGATGAATGAGCTAACTGATAATTATAGTCTTACAATTATAATATTATAATGGAGGAGAGGATGATATGGGGTTTAAGTCGTCTCATTTGTTAAAACTGATTAAGGGAACATGTTTCTTGTTCCTCTTGAGCTTTGTGAAACTAGTCTCCTGGTTTCCTATTAGTGAGTGAATTCTTTGTCAATGTGATGGTTGCATTTTATTCTTTTGTTGATCCCATTTAGTTAATATATCTCTTTCTACCCCGCGCTCTCTGTCTTGCTCTCTTTACGACACCCTTTCCCCTACATCCCTTTTAAATGCTTCATTTATCTTCTACAAGCCTTTATCCTCAGACCAAACAACTACTTTAGGATAAAAGAGTTTTGTATCAGTTGGAAAGACGGAAAATGTTTTCATTCGCTTACCAAAAGTATGTTGTATGCGATTGTGAGTTAACCCATTTTGAATTCTTCTTATAGTTACATGTGGTGGTTCACACTATTTGCTGTTGGAATCTGTTATCAACGCTTTTCATGATCTTGTAAAATTTCTTCTCTTCCTCGTAAATTTAATAACTTCTTATATCTTAAGTCATTTCAGGCTTTTCAGATGATTCAAATCCCCAGGAAAATACAAAGGTCGATGATCGTGCTTCTTCAAGAAGGGAAAATGGATCTACAATAATCTTAGTATGCATTGCTCTTGCAGCAGTTGTCGGTTTGTCAGCTTTCCTATTCAAGTTATGGCAAAAGAAGAAACGTGAAGAGCAATATGCTCGTCTATTAAGGCTGTTTGAAGAAGATGACGAGCTTGAGCTTGAGCTTGGTCTTCGTGACTGACATGGTTTATTGCAATGGAGGTAAGGCTCTTTTCTGGCTGTTTCTTGAAATTCATAGGCCAAATTTACCCATGTTTCATTTTTTTCATTGGTGGTAATGGTGCTTTCTCATGTGTTGATTGAGATGAGTGATCTGATCTCCCAGCTGCGTTGTTTTCTGCCCTTATTCTTTCTTCGTTTTTTTTGGAGGGGGGTGGTTTGTAGCATTTTATATGTCGAGGATATATGGTCAACGCATTAATCATCAATTCAATTCTATCCGATGCAAGGTGAAAACTGAAAAGACTTGGGTACTATATACCATAAGATTTGAAAGAGTATAACCATTATCCCCTCTGACTTCACTTCATCATAAATATATACTTGCACCAATTGCACTCCATGAGGACTACATTGCCCTTGTTGTATTAACAATCATGATGTGGACTAAAATAATGGTGAGGCTATAGTACAACTTTGATGGTTGATTCGAATCATTCCATAACAAACTAATTCTTTTGATGGCTGGACACTGCAAAAGCGAAGTGCAAGTTAATATGGGAGTAATGGAGTGTTAAAGAAAGAGTTACGTCTATCATTATGGTATTAGTTGGTCGCTGGTGTTTCTAGTGTTGTGGTTGTGGAACGCCTCGCCGCTCATCCTGTTTGTTACAAAAAATACTGATTCAATCTGTGCAGCTTACACTTGGTCAGTTAATCTTACCAGAAGGGAGTTCCGTTTGATTCTGAGCAACTTCCTGAATGTGCATGTGCTTATGCAAGATAAGAATACGATAATCATAGATTTGATACGTTTAATATCGGCACCAACTAATTATTTGGAAACCTTTTGTTTTTAGCAGTTGATACTTTCTATTCAAATCTTCTTAAAAGTTGGAAGTATATCATTAACCACTGGCCTACGCCAAACAGGTGTAAATGGAAGGGGATTTCCAGTACCCAGAATAAGAAATGGAGCAACTATACACATGGCGAGGAGGCCTCATATCCTCTCATTGAGTTTTGTATTATTTGTATTCATATCATGACCAAGATACATTAGTGTTTTTATTCATTTTATTCCTTTTTTCGTTCTCTCATCTTGTCAATAGATATGGAAAGAATTTGTTTTGTATGAAGTGTTACAAAGTAAGTAGCTGTAAATGCTTATTGAATAGTTTGGTGTAATAGACCTACAGGTCATTAAAATTGATCAAGATACTCTATGGTTACTAGTTTGTACTTTGTACCAAATTCAGCAGTGTGTTTCATCTTTCTAAATTCTAGATATTGACTTGTGCAATAATTCGCAATCCGAGGTCTTACCGGAATCAGTCTCTCAGTCTTTTGGGACATACGTAAGATAAGAAAAAAGCAACTTAATGTTATTGAATTAACGGGTGCTGCAAAGATTCAAACTATTATACAAAGTTCTCCTTTTTCCCTTAGATTCATTGGTTATAATGAAAGAAAACTAGACTACTGTAATACAATTGTTGCTTATTTCAACCTGGATGAAAACTGAACTAAAAAACATCAAAAACCAATCACACACGAAAGAATAGAGAAACTAGACATAAATATCGAGTCTTTTTTTGAACCTAAGGTATGAAAGCAGTTTTTGTTCTTCAGCCAGACCGTTTGCCTGAATCTGTCACCATATGCCACAAAACCGAACCTTCTTCTCTTGGATTTCTGGTCATGTCTTCTGGCTGTAACAAGCATATAGTCATGGGTGAACACCGTGAATCAGATTGATGCTAGCAATCTCAGCATCTAAACAGAATTAAATCCCGTCTCTGGGGTTGCCAGCCTGTCATTTTCCTGTTTTGGCTCGTTTCATTCCATTGCTGTTAAAGGGAGACATACTCGGGCTCATACTAGGACTCATGCTAGGGCTTTCTTCCCTCAGCGTACCATTCAGCATGGCCAATTCTCTTAGTTGATGCTTCTTATAAGTATCCATGGATTCATCCTGGTGATAAAACAGAGTTAGAGACCAAAAAAGAAAGAAATCGAATTAAACCACATGCTCCATAAGGCTAAGCAGAGCGAAAAGGGTTTTCCATGAGATGGGAAATGAAAACTATTAGCCCCACACGAAGTAAGTCAGACTCAATAAAATTTGATCATGAAACGTATGCTTGCATATTCGTCCATAGCTCAAATCGGAACAAAAACAAAAATCTGCATGAAGGTATCTCGTACCACTGGCTTTAGTAGGTTCTCTAGTAGTGCCACTGCATGATCCAAGCGTGAGTCTATTATGCCTTCAGGAAATTCGGCTTCAAGCAACAGGTGAAGTGGGTCGTTAAGGTGTTCATAACCTGGTTTGTCTTTTAACTTCTCTTCCTGATTTCAAAGCAAAAGACAGGTGCTTTAAGAAGTGTAAGTATTAAAGATTTAAGCATATCATACTTTCGATTATGTAACCATGGATGCATAGAAGAGGCTCATTCAAGTAACAGATGTGGCTATTTTGAATGCTGAAAAAAAGAGAAGGCTGCATAAGTGAAAACAACTAGCAAGTTTTTGCAGAGTCTATATGTAGTGCACATTAAGTTTTTCCTGAACATCAAGTGTTTTTTGTACCAATAAGTTGTGAGATGTGCAAGAAACTACTAAATTTGACCCTAAATTGCAACAATAAAAATTAAAGATCACCCATGAAAAATACAATATTTTACCTTCTGGGAAGTGTTCAATTTTGTTAGCTCATGTCATCATACAAAAAAAGATGATATTTAAGGGTGTTTTAGATATTTGATCACAGTCAAATGCATCCGAAAGATATATTGTCAGTCAATTATCGCAATTTTCATGGAATGGAGGATGTAGTTTAATTCCTTTCATCTAAAGATAAATGTAACATGTGACTGGCACAAAGTTTAATGGAAGAGTAATTATCAGTCAAATATCTAAAATTCTTCTGAATAGTAACAAAAATAGTGTGAAGCTTACTATCATATTGCCAATGAGCAAGGTGGTTAACCTATTGCCAATAAAAGGGACATGGTGTAACTAGTTTGTGACATCTGAAGAGGAAATTGTTGAATTTATTTAAGAATGGAGGGAATATGATAGTTTCTTTTTGTTACATATTGTTACAAATTAGGGACGGAAACCTAAATCAGTGCAGCAAAAAGGACCAAATTCGGGGTTGTTTGGCAGTTGCTGAATGGTTTGGTGCAGAATGATTAAGAGGCTCTCATGATATAGTGCAAAATGAAATATAATTGTTTGGTAACTGTTTACAACAAAACTAGGGCACTGAATGGTTAAGGGAGGCCCAGGATACAAAATCATTTAGAGGGTTTTAGAACCATTAAGAGGCAGACTTTTTTTTCGCCAAACAAGATTCGCCTCTTAACGATTCAGAGGCTGCCTCTTAATGGAACTATTAAGAGGTAAACAAACAACCCCAAAGAATAAGTCTCATGCAAAACAGTAGGTGTCTGAATGTCACAAGAATAAACTGGCCCATATAATAATATATAATCACGGTCTTTGTATGCTAATTTAAAGTTTTCAGGAGAATTATACCCTCTGCTACTTTGATACAAGTCTACATGAAGATTAGAAGTTCATGAGATAAGAGAAACCAAAAGAAGATGCATCCTTTCATATGAAGTGGCAAAACAAATCCTCAAAATGGTTTGAATGTGAATGTTGCTATAACTACTAGAATCCCTTCACAATACTGGGGAAACAATCATACCTTAACAGAATCCTTCACTGAGCCTCGACCTCTGATATAGATTCTACACTCCGTCATGGCTTCTATCCTTTTCAGGGAATTTCCACGTGGACCCAAGATTCGGCCAACAAAGTTATACTGCCATGCTTCCAGGTTAGAACAAACTAAAAGGGAAGGAATAGAAAAACAGCAGAGGAGAAGAGCAAAACCCTTTACTTACATTTGGGAATTTCTCGACAGGAACATCAAGCCTTATAACTTTCTTTACAACTGTAGGGGTTGCCATTCCTGGCGATGCAGGCCAACCCATAGCAGAAGCTTGAAATGAGGCCATTCTTTGGAGAAGCCGATTATCCTGAAGCAGAACCATCGTCAGTCAATGCACAAGTGCAGATGCAACCATAAGTTATCAGTGAACGAGGCTTAAGTGGTGAAACCAATCAACCACTTTTTCCTTCTTAGAAACAGGGTGAACAAATCAAAATTTATTAGGCGGTTGGAATTAGGTTATTTTTATGGATCAGGGTTTTATAAGTTTATCTATCTGGATCTTCAGTAATACAATATGTTTTTAGAGCACTAAACATATGACTGGTATCAGAGACATTATGCCAGACAGACTACATCCAAAATATGCTTTTGGTTCGATATCAACAATAATTTTCTTTAACGACCCATGAAACCACATCCAATGGATGAAACTTTAGCCTCCACATATTGACGCTGATAATTCACTGGGCAATACACAATAGCAAGATTCAGACTAAAACATCAACATTATCCTAAGTTTCAACCAATTCAGCAATCATAGCTGCAATTTTAACAACAGTTAACACCATGGCATCCTTGAAGCCTTTGAAATCTTTGAGGTCCCATATGGCTTGTAGGATTGGATAGGATTGGATTTGGAGGGATTTGAAATTTAATTTCATTCCAATCCCATGTTTGGTTTGAAGAATTGTTTGGATTTGAAATCTCGAGGATCCAATGAAATCCCACAAACATGGGATTTAGAAATCCCATGGGGCTTGTTGGTATTTCGCGGGATTTCGTAGGATTTGTGTGAAATAATGTTGAAAACATTTGTTTTATAATAAAAAGGTAACTCAATTATTTTTATAATTATCTATAACTTACTTATTTATAAAAATGGAATCCTACAAACCAAAGATTCCAAATCTTTCCATGAGTGTTTCAAGGGAGATTGTAATTAGGGTTTCCATATGTTCACGAAACCTTTGCCCAATAATACAAAACAAGAAGCATGGATACAATAAACACTAATATGTTTTGTATACGATAAAAAAAAAGATTTCAGTTCTTTTTAATTAATAAACATGAATTTGGATAAATATAACATTAATAAAAGTTAGATGTAATATTTATTAAAGTCCTCCTTAATCTTTTGTAAATTTCTCTACCAAATCCTCATCATTCAAAATCCCTCCACTTTTCCTAAGATTATTATAGAATCACAACTGATTAACCTTAATGACAAAAAAAAAAGAGCAAGAACAAATCATTCTTCATCAGCGTTGATTGAGACTACTTTTCTTTTTGAGTTTTCGACATCGAGATGGTTTCTTTGGAGTCTCACTTCCTACACCAGTTTCAAAAGACTTTCTCTGACCGGTCAATGTCTTTGAGACCGTCGTGGGAAGGAGAGAATACATGGAAATCATCTTGATACCGGAAAGTCCAAAAGGAGAGTAGTTTTGATCAACGCCAATGAAGAATAACTTGATCTTGGTCTTCCTTTTGTTGCCATTAAGGTTAATCGATTGAAATTCCATAATAATCCCGGAACATGTTTTAGTGAATCCTAAAATAAGGGATTTCGAATAATGAGGATTTGGTGGAATTTCCAAAAGGTCAGGAGAAGGGGAACTGAAGTAGAAGAGTGGTTTATATGGAAGTGGAGACAAGTGTCAAAAATAAGGGAATACATTTTATTAGTATTACTAATTTTCTAAAATCATGTTTATTAATTTAAAAAAAAAAACTAAAATTATTCCATAAGCATCATCAAAATAAGCTATGCATAAGACCCAAAAAATGGCACATGAATATTACCTAGCAGCTAGCCCTAAAGTACCATTTCAGACGTCTTAATGATATTGATTGGAAGAAGCTAGTCTCCCATAACTGTACTTGCTCCTTTGGATCACCAAGGAATATATTACTCACACATTCTTTGGTCTACAAGATTTATTTATATTTGGTGATTGCAAGTTAATCTTCAGTTTCATCTCCATTTTGTCGAAGGATGGTTAGGACAGTTGATTAAGAGTTAAATTCTATTAGGGTGCAAAGTGGTATGATGATGGGACTAGACTGGACGGACGAGAAAAAGGTAGGCGGGTCAAAGATTTTTCCAAGGTTTTAGGGTTTAAATTTGACATGTATAGTTTAGTGATTTACCAGTCTTGACCCATCTCCCTTATTTTTGTTATAAAAATGCATTTGTGTCCCAATAATTCCTGTCTAGACCCAGTCTAATTATCGCGCCAAACGTGGGACAAGAAGTTTTTAATCTGTCTTGTCCTTGGCATACTAATTACTAAACACAAATTAAATATGTACGCCACACGCATGGTTCTAAATAACTCGTTATGGCGTTGAGGCTTGGCATCGCCGTCACGTTAACCCCTGTTGCTCTAGTCTAAGGTTTGGCTTGAGTTCTAACTCGTTATCACATGTTATGGCGCATTACAACGCGTTATTTTGTAACGCATGTTAAGACGTGGGTTTTTTTTTACTCTTTAATATATAACTTGGGGGATAAATGATAATTATGTACAAGCCTAAGATTTAAATGAACATAAAAAGAAAAACTAAAACCCTGAATAGGCAAATCCTTACTCTCATTCCCATACACAAAGAGTTGAACACGAATTCCTTGTAGATTAAAGAAAGTAGTGAGTAGAGACTCAAGAGCTTTAATCCCAATTTTGCACTCGTGATATCATTTTCTTATAAGCTCTATATACTTGACATCAATGGTTATCTTTCTATATTAGTTTTATTACTTTATATGAATTTAAATTGTTCTACGGTATTATTCAAAACACTAAGACACACACACACATAGACCTCATTTGTTTCAGGATTATAAATGCTGAATGATACAGCATACTTGATCTGAGTTACTGCTGAATGCCTCCTCCCTAAAACTATCTTTGCATAAATTTGGCAGATTGATAAATTATAGAATAACTCAAATTTGCATTAGTGAACCTTCCAAAATCAATTTCCCATAAGTAAGACAACAATCATAAGGATGACAAACGCAATGGTCAACTAGGCCAATAAATAACTAATATGCATGCAAACTTAAGGCACCAGATAGAACTTTAAGAAGAGTTAAAATGTAAAACCTCTTGTTGCATTGAAGGCCATGCCTCTACGTTCATTGGACCCCCATTAGGTTTGTGACCAAACGACTGATATGACCTGTCACGCAACATTCTTTCATGATCCACAAAATTTTGGTTGGACACAAGTCCAGACGTCTTCATGATCTCTGCATAAAGTAATATTCGAGGTTTATCAGTAAGGGATCCACTTAAGCTACTTGTGAGACTTGAATCTTGACTTCAAGCTTACTTAAGGTGGAGACGTGGAGTAATGCCATAGGGCTATGGTCGTATTGGCAGAAAACAGATTACAAACATATGATATACACAACTGGCGTTAGTGCCGGTATTCGGCCCAACCTCATCCATCAATCCTTTTTTTGCAAAATCATATACAGAGTTCACAAACAAAACACATGCCACTTTACCATATTGCTCAAGCAAGCCAGAATATGTAACAAAATTATGGAATGAAAAGAGAATTGGTGAAGTATATAAAAGAGTAAAAAATAATAGAGATGTTGGATAGTGTTCAACTTCTCCCATATCAATGTACTAATAGGTCTAAACCATATTCTGGAGTTTGCATTACTTATTATCATATCACTACAATCTTCATTGTTAAAATTTTATCTTTGAACAAGGCTTCACGTTCAAAATCTCACAGGATCCACTTGTATTATTGCATTGATAAAGACCAACGTTTTAATCTGAATTTGCTATTGCACTAAAAATTGCAAGCGAGGGCACGAAACAAGAAAGTGCAAGTATACAAGCCCAGTATAACTATATCTAACCAAAGACCATCAAAAATGCTTTGGTGCAAGGAGTTCGACAATACTTGCTTTGTCTGCAATAGAGATTACAAGGACTGGTTTAGCAACCAAAAAAATTATGATATATGGCCTGAAAAATAGGCCCCATCCAGTCCTAACAGTTCGTATTTTCTCTTCATTTTTTATTTTCTTTAAGAACATATATAGTGATATATTTAATAAAATGTCTCCACAAGTGTTTTCATTAATTCGATATGACCGTTCCTAACCAGTACAAAATGAGTCCAAACACGATCTTGATATTTGAACCAAAACCGGTCCTCTGATGAAAAAAATATATATGGACTGGACTGGGCCCAGATTCGGTCCTTGGAAGCGCCGGTCCTTATGTAAACGGGCTTGGACTGGTCTTGGTGTGGTTATGGTCCTCAGTCTAATGATGTGCATCTATAGACTGTGTAATACAAATGTCGTAAGCATATGAAAAGATTGAAACGGTTAAAAGAACCTTGATTTAGGAGCCTGCTGCATATTGGCATGACTTGCATAAATGGTGCTAACTTTTGCCTCTCTGCAAGCAATTCTGCCAAATATCTGTTTATCCCAACTCCCAATCGTACAATTACAAATCAGAATGGAGAACTTAGAATGAAACATATAAAGGTTATTGACTTATACAATTTTCCATACTTCATTTTATGGGGCCATCTTTATTTCTCCACACACCAAGTAAACGGAACCCAAAATCACATTTTATTTCTTCTCATACCCACAAAATGAAAATGTTTGATGGCCATAATGAATTAGAACTAAACAACTTTAAAGAAAGGTAACCTGGAATACATAGGAAAGAAAACATTAGCCCTTCTAACTCCAATAATTTTATGAATTAACTATAAAATGGAAAAGATACATTTATTAAAAAAATGACAGACTATGTGAGACTCAAGCATGAGACCCTCTAATTTAAGTACAATGTCTGAAATGTAGTTGTTATTATAAAGCAAGTGACAATTATATATACCAACTCGTTATGAAAATTGTCTTCTTTATGATCATAGTTATTAAGATCTTACTAATCATATAACTGTTCTTGCTTAGGAATTCTTTGATGGTTCATCTTTACATGATTAATGTGGAGTTTTAAACTACGATCAAGTTTAAAGACAAAGCAACTAAATGATCAATAGCCAAAATTATACAAGAGGTACCCGGCTTAGGAATTCTTTAATGGTTCATCTTTACATGATTAATATGGAGTTTTAAACTACGATCAAGTTTAAAGACAAAGCAACTAAATGATCAATAGACAAAATTATACAACAAGAGGTACCCGGTTTACTGGTAGAGCGAGCCTCCCAGGAGGTCAAGAGTTCAAACCTCACTAAAGGTGAGGAGTGTGCGTGAGTATTTCCCATATATAAAATTTATATACTTTAAAAAAAGCAAGCAGAGCAAATGAAAGCCCGAAAGATAATGCAAAGGTCGAAGCTCGTAAATATGCATGTTTGGATAAAATGGAAGTTGAAAGGGGAATATGATGCAGTTGTTATGAAGAGAAGGAAAAACAAGAAATCACTGGCTGTAAGAGTATGATGAAGATCTAACTAGTTTATTACCTTTTTAGCAACAAAAAAGACTGATCTTATCATATTAAAGCATCGACAAAATAGGCACAAATGAATCGTATTGTTTCTAAACCTTAGCATTAGCTTTAGATTGGATTTAAACGTATATGCATCTTTTGGCAATCAAAAGATTGCTACTTGTTATGCAGTATCATTTTTCTCAAGTTCATATTAGTTCTTGCGATTCAAGAAATAAGAATCAAAAAGTTCTCTGTTCATGGTTGACAAAAACAAAAGAAAATCTTAATTACTGCACACTTACACTATGCAAACTCACAAAATGGAAGGATGTAATATTCAAATTGATGTTGACAAATGTCATATTCAATTCACCAATAATGGCATTGTTTGACTTTAAGGCATCAAGTACAAACACCATCCTTATCATGCAGAAATGCGAAACAAACCAAACAAGCACCTTATTGGTTGTGTCCTAACCCAAACTTGTGAAACTGATGTATTCTTAATTTATCATGAGATGTTGCTGAGCAATCAAGAAAGATCTTCATGATCTGCCGATTCGGTTCTTAACTTCAAAGATTCTGAAAAGAACCAAAGCTCAATAAAAATGGCAAACAGCCCATTTCTCCAAACAACAGATCCATACTTCTAACTGCTTGTAACAAAACTCAAAGGAACACCAAAAATGGTGAAAAATCCTCTACCCATATGTGAATTAACAGTTTACACAACCATAAAGTAATATATCATTACAAAACAAGCCAAATAAGGGAACACTAGATCCCCAAATGGTATAATATTGAATACTAATACGAAGAACCACAATAATCCCACAAAACAACAAAAACCCAAGATCCAAAAGTTATCAAGATATACAATTACATAGAGAGAATTGACAAAAGTTGAGAAATTTCTAACCTTTCACGATCTGAGGGAGAGGAAGACCTCGGAAGTGAACCATGAACACCAGTAGGAGAATACTGGAAGTAACTTCCTGCTGGTATTCTATTCTCCATCAATGATTAAGCTTGCTTACTATGAAGCTTTTGGCAGTCAACCCTGTTATACATATACAAAGAAGAAAACCCCAGAAATATGAGAGGTGTACACACATGTATAAACACATAGAATACACAAAGATAGACTTACTGGCAACCTTGATTTGAGTTGAAAGTTTTAGAGAGAGAAAGGGCTTGTGAAAAAGGGAAATGGGAATGGAATGGTAAAGGAAGGAAGATTTCTTCAACTCTTTCCCCCTAATTGGACCCCTCTTGAGAGGGAGAGGAAGAAAATGACAAGAGGGGTTGGAGGGTAAGGGAAAACTCACTGTACAGAATTGAAAGAGGTCCCTATGGCGATTCTTTGGTTTGTTGTTGCTGTATATACGTATATTTGTACTGTGTGTTTTTGGTGATTAGTGAGTGAACAGTGACGGTGAGGGAGAGATCATCGCATAGGATACGAATCATTAGATTTGGTGTGGTTTTGATTTGTTTAATCAGATTCATTGGGTTACATGCACCTGTGAATCCCTGTTTTTTTCTTTTTTATCAAATTATTAATTATTATTTCTAAGTATTTTAATAGTAAAAATTATATAAATATTCTTTCAAGAGTTTTTTGAAAGGGAATTCATTAAAATGAACAATTAATACTTCATATATTAATAAAATAGTTATTTTTTCCAACTTTTACCAAGCTAACCACAAGGATCGCTCTCGGGGGCATGTTTGACCATGGGGCGATCCAGCCATATTTGACCAAAGAAGTACAGAAAAAATAATTTAAAGTTGATTTGTGGGATCTACATGTATCTGATTTGGGGGACAACATATGGTTTTTTCTTGAATAGGGGAATCGCCCCCACCTAACCCCGGATCTTCTCCCGGGGGCGATCCGACCATCCTTTGTTGAACACTGTTTTGTCTTTTACCATCACAACCCTTCATCCTTGAACACAAATACGAAACCACGTCAAAGTGATGATGTTTTGGTATGTGTTCAAAGTGGCAGTTCATTCCAAGAAATAAATGGTGTCTTAGAGTATATGTGATAAGTGATATTTTATTTATTTGAGCATCGAATTATCCTTAGATTTACGAGTTTCTAGACTAAATATTACCCCTTTAAATGTGGTTTGTGAGTCTAAATTATTTTTTTTTTTTCAAAAAGAAAGAAAAGAGGAAATAACACTTATCCTAGTCCTCACTTTGGGTCAAATACAAAAAGCAAGCCCACCAGCAGGAAGAGGCCCAAGCAATTGCCCAACAGCAGCCCAAGGCCGCTGCCCAACACCAGCAGCGATTAGTCGTAGAGTGTTCAAGACTGATCATGCTTTTATAACGAACAGAATATTGACGAGTGTCGATGTTCTAACCAATTTGGCTTCTTTTGAGAAAACGGTTTGAATGAGTCGATGATATATAATCCAAATGATTAGTTGATTGATGTTCATTGCTAGTCTCTTTCTTATTATTGTTAAATTTTCTAAATTATTTTGCATATTTAGGCTCTTTATCAATTTTCCAACCCCCCCTTTATATAAATATTATTTTTAATGAATTTGCATGTGGTTACGTCTTGAACTTACGGTTAATATGAGTCCCTGAGGAGACGACCCTACTTATCGCTATCACAAGTTGTATTTTAGAGATAATATGCTTATTTTTATAAATTCTATAATTTGCCGGACTCGACACCTATCAAATTTTTGGCGTCGCTGCCCGAGACTCGGCAAATTTAATTGTTTATGCCAATATCGTTTCGTGCAGGTTCACCATTGCTAATTGATCCGGAAATCGAGAAAACCGCAGAAAAGCTAGAAAGTAAGCTAAGCTTCGGAAGAGGCAAGGCCCGTCCACTTCTTCACCGGTTTCCAATATTTTGAAAGATATTGAGCTATTGTCCGATTCAGAAGGCCAAACGGAGGAAGAAGAAGAAGAAGAGAAACCTCATTCTGAGCGAGAAGAACCGGTCATCGAGACTGAAAAAGAGGAAATGGTGAATCCCGAACGCACTTTGAGGGAATGGGCAGCACCCAACGTCGTCGAGCAACCTCTGTGCATCACATATTCGGCAGAAAAGGTAAGTGCTGAACTTTAGACGGGTTTAATACACTTACCACCTCGTTTTAATGGTTTAGCTAACGAAGACCCGTACAAGCATATGACCGAGTTCCACATGGTATGCTTGGGTATGAAGCCACAAGGCACGACGGTGGAGAATCTCAAGCTGAAGGCATTTCCTTCTCCCTAGTTGATGCAGCTAGGGAGTGGCTTTTCTACTTACCGTCGCGATCCATCACCACTTGGGCGCAGATGGCTAGAGCATTCCTCGACAAGTACTTTCCCGCATCCAAAGTCGTCGGGCTTAGAAGAGAGATATGTGGGATCAAGCAGAAGGACATGGAGTCATTATACGAGTATTGGGAGCGCTTCAAGCACCTTTGTGTAAGTTGTCCTCAACATGGTATTTCTGATGAATTACTAATTCAGTATTTTTATGAAGGTTTACTACCGATGGAGAGGAAGATGATGGATGCCGCGAGCGGAGGAGCTATAGTGAATAAGACGCCAACTCAAGCGAGGACTTTGATAGACACCATGGTAGAAAACTCCAAGCAATTTGGAGTATGAAGTGACGTTGACCGAGGTGCTAGTGAGGTACATGTTAAATCTTTAGAAACTAAAATAACTGATATGACTAACCTTGTGAAACAACTTGACATGGGTAATGTGCCTCAAGTCAAGGCACATGGATTTTTGTCATCAGTCGCACACCCCACCGATGCATGTCCAACTTTACATGGAAAAAAAAGAGCAAGTGAACGCCATTGGGGGTGGCAACTTTCAGAACTCAAACAACTGGGCTCCCGACCCTTTCTCGAGCACATACAACCCCGGTTGGAGGCAACATCCCAATCTGAGTTATCCATGAGACAAGGACAAGGTCAAAAATTTCAGCAAAGAGGTTCATTCCAGCAGGCTCGGCAGTTTCAACCTCAACAATTCCAAGCACCGCTAGGATTTCAGCAACAACATCAACCGAAGGCACCATTTCAGCCAGGTGCCCAACATCAACATCAAGTGTCACCGTAAGCTCCTAGTAGCTCAGCTATGTCATTAGAGAATGTAGTTAAGTCTATGGTTGCTAACATGATGAAATTTCAACTGGAAACTCAGGCGAGTATCCAGGACCTTCAGGCCACCATTGGCCAATTAGCAAACAAAGGTAAATTGTCATCTCAAACGGAAACAAATCCGAAGGCAAATATGAGTGTCGTCACTTTGAGAAACAGAAAGGAGCTTCAAGAGGTTGGAAAGAAGAAGAAAGAAAATGTTCACGAGGAAGAGAAGAGTTAGAGGTCAAGACATCCACTTCGAGTGCAAAGGATGTCAAAGAAGATGAGGCAAAGAAGAAGACACCCAAAGAGATAGTTCAAGCACCGCCATTCCCGAGCCAGTTCGAGAAGACAAAGCGGGAGAGCGAAGAGAAGGAGATCTTTGACACATTTCAGAAAGTCCAGATAAACATCCTTTTATTAGATGCAATTAAGCAAGTGCCTAGATATGCTAAGTTTTTTAAAGAGCTTTGTACAAATAAAAGAAAACTAAAGGGTAATGAAAAGATAAGCATGGGTCAAAATGTGTCCGTTGTTTTGCAAAAGCGGTTACCACCAAAGTATAAAGACCAGGACATGTTTACCATACCATGTAAGGTAGGCAATGTCTCGGTAAATCAAGCCATGTTGGACTTAGGGGCATCAATTAATGTTATGACATATGCCATTTACTCATCTTTGGATGTAGGGCCCCTAAAGCCAACCAGTGTGGTAATCCAACTAGCGGATAGGTCTATTGTCTACCTTAAAGGGGTATTAGAGGATGTGCTTATTCAAGTGAATGAGTTGGTATTTATGGCAGATTTTTATATTATAGATATGGAGGAGAAAATGCCTCAAAGGCCGGTATGCTTTTGCTAGGTAGACCATTTTTTAAAACCTCTAAGACTAAGATAGACGTCCATAGTGGTAGTTTGACCATGGAATTCGATGGCAAGATGATTAAATTTAATATATATGATGTCATGCAATATTCGAGTGATGTTTCATCTTTATGCTTTGTTGTATTATCGAGTCCTTATCTGACACTATGTTTGATCTATCTAATGAGGATGTGTTAAAAGTGATTATAGACATGGATTTAACGAATGGAAGTTTGAAGAAGCTTGCCCAAGARTACAAGCTTGATGATGATTTTACAGAATTGGTGTCTTGGATGGAGAAAAGGCGAGCACCAAAGCCAAGGTATGAAGTTTCTAAAATAGATTTTCCTATATCTCACACTAGACTTTTGCCTTCTATTGAACAGGCACCCGAGCTAGAGTTGAAAACGCTACCGTATCATCTGAAGTACGTCTATTTGGGAGATAAAGAAACCCTTTCGATGATCATATCCGCCACACTATCACTGAAGGAGGAAAGAGAGCTTGTGGATGTTTTGAAGGAGCACAAGGGGGCAATTGGATGGACCATTGCCAACATCAAAGGCCTTAGTTCCTCGCTTTGCCAGCACAAGATTCTATTAGAGGAGAAGTAAAAGCCATTCTGAGAAGCGCAAAGAAGGTTGAACCCACTGATGATGGAAGTTGTCAAGAAGGAGATACTCAAGCTTTTGGACGCCAATATGATCTACCCGATCTCTGACAGCAAGTGGGTAAGCCCGGTCCAGGTAGTCTCTAAGAAAACTGGCATTACTGTGGTAGAGAATGTCGAAGATGAGTTAGTGCCCACCCGTGTTCAAAACGGGTGGAGGGTATGTATTGATTATCGTAAGCTTAATTCATCAACTAGAAAATACCACTTTCCCCTTCCATTCATAGACCAAATGTTAGAAAGGTTAGTCGGTCGTACTCACTATTGTTTTTCAGATGGTTATTCAGGTTTTCATCAGATACCGATGGCGAGAGAGGACCAAGAGAAGACCACATTGACCTGCCCCTTCGGTAAATTCGCTTACCGGAGGATGCCTTCCGGTCTTTGCAATGCACCTGCGATATTCCAACGATGTATGGTGAGTATATTTTCAGAATATGTGGAGAACATTATTGAGGTTTTTATGGACGATTTCACAGTTTATGTGATTCGTTTAATTCATGCTTGGATAATTTGACCAAAATTTTAAAGAGGTGCATTGAAACTAATTTGGTTTTGAATTATGAAAAATGTCCCTTCATGATCGACTAAGGTATAGTACTTGGTCATGTTATCTCGAAAAGGGGTATAGAGGTTGACAAGACAAAGATCGATGTCATAAATTTCTTGTATTACCCCTCGAGTGTTAGAAAGGTCTGATCTTTTC